TGTTTTGGTGCCACGGAGATTATACAAGAGACTAGGCAATTCTTCAGAGAGATACTTATCATCGCTAAAGTTTTACTTTCTCTTGAGAAAAAATAATAGGATATTTCTTTCTTATCTTTGCCTCTTTATGGTAAGGTGGAACTTAACTGATTCATACCTTTTTGAAATAAGACACTATAGTAAATACTGAAAACACGTAAGGAAATACTTGGTTTACCAGACTCTTTTATTTTGATCTCAAAGTCATAAAAGACAGAACCTTCCATGTACTGATGAGCACCAGGTTATCTCCAAGTCATACTCTCTTCCATAGTTGGGAAAATGACTTGCTTGATGAATACTCATATACCATTTGTATAATTTCAGAGAGAAATAAAATTAATGCAGTTGTGGAAATGTAAGCTATTTGATTTCAGTGAAAACAAAGCCCACTAATCTATAGCTATTTTAATCACCAGAGATTCAAAAAATAGTCTTAAATGTTATTCCCAGGAACACTGTTTCCCAGTGTGGTACATGAGCCCTGGGGAGGCAAGATAATTTTAAAAGATATGCTAATAAATATTTTTTATTTTATTGGTTATATTTTTATTTTAGTGTGTTTGTCTTTAAAGGAAAAGCCATGGCCAGGCACGGTGGCTCATGCCTGTAATCCCAGAACGTTGGGAGTTTGAAGCAAGGGGATTACTTGAGGCCAGGAGTTCAAGACCAGCCTGGCTAACATGGCAAAACCCTGTCTCTGCTAAAAGCACAATAAATTAGCTGGGTGTGGTGGTGCATGCCTGTAATCCCATCTACTTAGGAGGCTGAGGCATGAGAATCTTGAGTCTGGGAGATGGAGGTTGTAGTGAGCCAAGATTGCACCACTGCACTCAGCCTCGGCAACAAAATGAGACTCTGTCACTAAATCAATCAATCAATCAATCAATCAATGAAAAAGACATATATAAATACAAACACACACACTCCCAGCACATCAAATCCATTATGTATACTTTTCACAAATGTATTTAAGTTTTAAAAGTGAGTTGATTTAAAGAAACATATTTAAATGTGTTAGGCAGAATTCTAAGATGGCCCCAAAGATTTCCACCCCCTGGTGCACATGCCCTGTATAAATGTCCTCCCTCAAGTATGGGAGGAAACTGAATATAATGGAATAGTCACTCCCATGATTCAATTATGTCCTATAAAACAATGTCAGAGTAGATTAGGGGGACTTGCTGTTAGTTGACAGCTAGCAAGAAAGCAGAATCCTCAGTCTTGCAACTGCAAAAAAACCCTGAATTCTTCCAACATAATTGAGCTTAGACGAGAACAACCGCCTCCAGATCTGACATCTCATGACTTCTTGATTTCAGCTCTGTGAGAAATATGTATGTATACACACACACCAATTCATTATATTGGCAACTAATTGGATGTTGGATGCTAAACCTGCAAATACTTATAATTTTGCAAGATATTAGACAAAGTTTAATTAAGTATTTAAAATGTCAAATAACACAATAGGGATGTAATAAACAAAAGAGCCTGGAGAAAATTCTATAGGACAAACAATGTGGTTCCTTTAACAAACAAGTTGCAAAGAAGAGCAAGAGACAGAGAGGGACTAAGAGAAAAATCTAAAGATTAAAAGAGATTTAGATGATCCAACGAATTGCAGTAAGGGACCTTGTGGTAGTTAATTGTGTGTGTCAATTTAAGTAGGTCACAGGGGACCCAGATTACACATTGTTTCTGGATGTGTCTGTGAGGGTGTTTCTGAATGAGATTAGCATTTGAATCAGTAGAATCAGTAAAATAGAGTCTCCTCCCCAGGGTGGGCGGGCACCATTTAATATGTTCAGGGCCTGAATAGAAAAAAAAAGGCAGAGGAAGGGGAAATTAGCCCTATTTTCCTGTCTAGCTGCTGGAGCTGGGACAACTCATTCCAGTTTTTTCCTACCTGTGGAATGGGATTTAGGCCTTCACCTCCCGGGAGGTGGAGGTTGCAGTGAGCTGAGAATGAGCCACTGCACTCCAGCCTGGAGATCTCAAATAAATAAATAAATCATAAAACATAAATAAATCAGCCAGATGTTGTGGTGCACACCTGTAGTCCTAGCTATTGGGCAAGCTGAGGCAGGAGGATTGCTTGAGCCCAGGATTATTATTCAAGTCTTTAATGTGCTATGATTGCACCACTGCACTCCAGTCTGGGCTCCCAGTCAGACCTAATCTCTCTTTGACTTGCTTTAGGTATATTAATGATAGTATGATTTTGTTAAAAATCTACTATTTAGAGACATATAGTGACATATTTGCAGGTCAAATCATATGATAGATGGGATTTGCTTCAAAATAATGGCAGGCAGGGGGCAGACAAAATAATATTCGCCATGAGTTAATCAATTATTGAAGCCAGACAACAGGTATGTGGGGGTCATTATACTATTTTGTTTCCTTTTGTATATTTGAAATTGTCCATGGTATGCTTTTTAAAAATAAAATGATTTTTAAGTAAAATTTTAAGATTCATTTTAACATAATTTTATTTAGATTTTTATATTATTACTAATGTTTTCCCTTCGAATCATATTTTTAAAATAGTTTAGAGAATAGTTAATTCTTTTTAAAGTAATCATTTTAATTGGGAAAAACTGTCATTTACTTGAATTCACATTTTTGATAAAAATATTTTCAAGTGTTGTATGCTTTGAGTACAATGCATTTTCTTTTTTTAATCCTTCAGATTCTTGAAAATTAGAACAAATTGAGAAAATGGTAGGAATGGAAAATATTAAAGGGGGAGTTCAGAAAAGAATAAAAGGCTAAAAAGAAAAACAGAGAAATTTTCCAAAGAGGTGATTTGTTTAATGTTTGAAAACTGAAAACAATGAAAAGGAATAAGATTGTGGTAAACACGACCCACATCAAACTCATAAACTATGCGTTGTATATTTGGTGTTTGGACCTCAACACAATAAAAATGAGCAAAACAATTATTGTCATCAGGACCTCACTTTGAATTTGTTACGTAAAATCCCTAGATCTTCACATCTTTTCCTACATGAAGACTGATTTACCAACAAAGACAATGAGATAATGTGAGGACCTCAGTTTGAGTCTCGCCCTGACCCCATGCTAGGAAAAGCTGGGGAATGAGGCTCTCCAGAGGTATGCAATGCCAACTGTCCATAAGTGATCCCTTTTTAGAAAACAAACAATTACCTAAAAAAAGTTCAAAACATTATATTTCATTTCGTAAGAGTTCAGAGAATAAAGAGAATTGTGTAGCGCTAATAATTTTAAAAATTGGAGAAGATTCACGAAAGGAAGCAGAACTTGATCTGAGCTTTGATGGAAGAAAGAGTTTCATTAGATGGAATGGAGAAGTGTTATAGGAAAAACCAGGTTTTTGCCACACAACCAGGAAAGATTAGGCTGGCAGACACTTTGAAGGGTAAGGAGTTATGGGATTTATTGGGTGCAAAGGCAAAAGGTAAAACAACACAACAAAGTGAGAAGGATTCCCGTTATCAGGACCCCATCTCACTGATAGTATCCCAAGGTACCACATAGGAACAGGAGGAGCCAGGCTCCTCCCCCTGCAAAGGGCTTGAACTTCCATGGCTCCACCCTGTTCTCCCAGTGGGCAGGCAAGCCAGTTGGAGATTCTCTGGGGACCCTCTCCCTTATCTGCCTCTTGCAACTATCAGAAGGACGGTCATTCCAGGCACAAGAATACATAAAAGTATAAATATAAGAATAAGAAGCCCAAGTAGTCTGTAGGACTCTGTTTAACGGAGACAGGCCTCGATCAATTTCACACCATGGGGTGAAAATTTAAGGTGGATTTTTAGTCTAGACCTGCTAAGTAAATATCTTGTTCAAGAACTGAAATATTATAACTACAACATGGCTTGCAGAGGAAAAAAATGGAAACCTATAAATTGAAAAATGTGTAACAAGAATGCAAATTCAGAGAACTAAGCATAGTTTTATTTTGGGGCTATGCCATAAAGGTGACTTAGGTAGACCTAAGGGCTAGGGATCTGTGTGTGTATGTGTGCTAGCCGACTGTGATCATTAACTTTTGAGGGGAAAAAATAGAAAGTTACATGACCCTGCAAGTAAAAATGATTAAGGTATTTCTTGCAGCTATTTCTGTGTGTCATAGAAACAGCAGGATTTGTTTAGAATGGGCTGATGCTCTTTATCCCAGTCCTCCCTAAAGGGAATTAAAGAGCTGAAACCAGTATAATGTATGGGTCTGATGGGATGAAAACACAGCACCAAAAGGAGCACACACATTCCCAGTGACTTATTTGTGTCTCTATCTAAATGCAAAGCCTGGTCTTATTTTTCGAAACCAGCTTTCTGGTAGACGGTTTAAGAGTTAAGGGATTACAAGAATAAGTCATTGATCTCTCATCTCTAAGGCTAACAAAGAATTCCATATTACTAAACCAGGCATTGCCTTTAAATCCATAGATTTCAGCCACAGCGGTGGAGAGAGGATGTTTTTGTTTGCTCTGTGATGATTTGAGAGCTGCATGATATTCTTGGTAGGAAAGGAATGAGAAAACATTAAATATTATAATGGCACTTCCCCCATGCTGTCTCTGAAAAGAACAAATTAGAAATCACTTTGGACAGAGTATGCAAAATGAAATGACCCAAAGCTCTTTGAAGGGTGGGCTATCTCTTAAAATCAAGAAGCATAATTCATTGCATACTTCGGAAAAAAAAAAAAAACCACATTGTTTTTAGTCAGAACAATTCCAGGTGAAAGATGAGGTACTTATAAATGAGATACTTCCATTGCTGTATCAATAAAATCAGGCTAAGTAAATATTTTACAGCCCCTGTGACAAAAGTTTTTTAATTAAAGGAATTATAGGTAGAGTTCACCTACTGCTAATGAAGATGAGGTACCTAGATAACATAAAGCAACTGAGGTTTTAAACAAATATACCCGCTTTACACATCTCAGTGAGTATTTTCTCTCCCACAGGGGTTACCTTGGGAAGCTATAAGATTAAATAAGGCTGCAGCAATTTCTTAGAAGAGTTTCCAACTCTTTGATTCAAGCCTTCAGGGACTGCAAGCTATTGTTTTGACTATCTTCAAAAATAAAAACCTTCAACGCATGAAAATAGAGTTTTATTTTTGAAAAATAATCAAAAGTCCATAGAAACCGAGTCCAGAGGACAGGGTAAGCAATTAAGCTGAGTAATACTATTCTTATTTAAAAATAAGTTTTACTGAATGTAACGGGGTGACTTTTAAGTGCCTTTGAAATGGAATCTAAAGACAATTTTCAAAGAATTACATAAATGATTTGTTGAAATAAGTGTATAAAACCCTAATCATTTTGAAGGGAAAAAAGATCAATCTCAGCATACAATAGACATATTTCCTACTTAAACATTCTAATATTCATACAACCATTCTGAGAGGGTAATATATATTAAAATATACAATGCGTATATTCTTTTACCTAGGAATTCTACTTCAAAGACATTGTCCTAAGACACTTGAGGAAATAAACAACGACCCATATGCAAGGCTGTTCGTTAATGAATTGGTGAAAAATTTTAAACGTATTGTCATTAATGAGGGATTAGTTAAATAAAATGCACTTTAGCTACGGTAGAAAACATTCTGTTTAAAAGGATGGTAAAGTAGAGAGGCCATGAAGATTTTATGTCATGTTTCAACTGAAATTAAGCACTGTGTTGAGAAGGATTCTGATGTTGAGTTTAGTCAACCTCAGAAAAAGGAACAAAACCGTTACCAAGTAGTAATGGATGCAATGATGGCAGGATCGAGGAAATGGCAGCATGATGACCAGGTTCTTGCCATCCCTAATGTTGCTATCAGTGAGGGTCAAGACAGGGAGTTCGGCAGAAGAAATTTAACAGGGAGAGCTAGTTACACACATGCTGGAAAAGCTGAAAGAGAAAGCAGGGCAAGTGGGAAAACCCACAGATTTACAACTGCAGGAAGACACACCACCCGTCGTGCTGAAGACAACTGGAGAGAGGCTGTCCAAGCAGTCACCGGAGAGCTCTGTGGCAAGGCCATCCGGCATGAATCAGAATCACAGAAGAGATGGCGCCCCTGCCAGAGACCTGAGCTGTCTTCTGGGAGTGAAATCTGTGCAGCTGCAGCAAGCTTCCCACTCCGAAGGGCCCCAAGTACCAAAGTGTGCTTGGTTTAATGCTTTACTGTCACCATCTTGAAATTTTTACTAATTTTTGAATGACACCTTTGTTTTCATTTTACACAGGGCCCGTGAAATTATATAGCCTGTCCTGCCAGAGACTTCAACCAAAACACAGACAAAGAGAAATACCCAGGCTGTTCCCCCTTCTCACCCTTCATTCTCCCACTGCTTCCCATTGGACTAACTTAAAAGTAAAAGTAAACTCTAGTGAAAAAAAGAAATGCAGTTTACAGGTTCTGCTCCTAAGAACCAAAGCAGAGCAGGGGGGTCTGAGTGCTGAAAACTCAGCCCGCACACTCAAGGTAAGCAGGTATGTTTTGTGTTATGTGTTATGTCTTAGCATTGGCAGATACTTAAATGTCTTAAAGATTTTCAAAATTTTGGTCATGGAACAGTGTGTGATTCCAAATGTGTATATATTTACATTTATTTTTAACAGTCAGAGGTATATACACCAAGGTGTTTAAAAGATAGGAGGAACATAAACCAAGGTGTTTAAAATAGTGGTAAGCAAGTAAGCCATTTTCTATACTTTTTGTTTAATTCTATTCTCTGACATTTCATACACACAGATGAACTAAATAGACCTATCTATGTATTTATACATACTATCTATATTATAATATAATAGGATAATTTTTAAATTTTAAAATATACAAACAAGACCTGATTATCTTTTTATCATCAAAGGAGGCTAGAACAGAAATTTAGCCACTAACCCAATATTGTCAAATATGGCCGGGAGACAGCACAGGATAAGAATTGAGGAAACAGACCTTGCTTTGCTGACTTGGCAGGCCTTTCTGAAATACAGGCAGTAAATTGGTGAAGTCCCAAGCTTGATTCCAAGTTGTGGTCGGGAAACGTAAGCAGCAAATGAAGGAAACTCCTTTCAAAGTAGGGCAGGCAAAGGAAGCAAAGGAATGATGTTTTTGCAGGATACTACAGCTGGTAACCAGGGCTGATCTCCCCATCTCTCAGACCCAGAGTCCCTTCAGGGGTGGGACTAGGGAGATGGGCCATTCTCTTATAACTTGTTCCTGTTATTGTGGTTTCTTCTGAAAGTCCTGCTAGCAATGGTGGTGGAAGACGGCACCTGGCGTGGACATGTGATCTGTGGTGCAGTCTAAGCCAGACTTCCACCTCCTGCTGCTTTTCCCTTAGTGTCTACATCAGGCTACGGTTCAGTTTGTTATTTGAATTCAAGGCATTTGCAAATATCTTGATTCCTGGTGCATACCCAGTAGGAAAATAGAATAGAACTTCCATTTTGAAAAGTGTTGAATTAGTACATAAAAAGTAGGTGATTTATATCTAATTGGTCATTTTTTGAAAGAAAGGCTACAGATGCTTTCCTGCTGAAGAAGTGACCATTTTAAAATTTAGCTTAGGCTTAAATATATTCATTTAAGAAATTATTTACTAAGATGCTAAGTTTGAAGACAGCCACTCTCAGCTTTTTAAAGGGTTTGAATTTTTGCAAATTATCTAAGCTGTGTTCATAATGTTTCAAACACTCATTTGGGGGGCAATCACACTTTTATCTTTCCGTCATTTCTTAAAAAAAATGCCCTGAGAAATATTGCCATATAGAAAACAAATGATATTCAATGCTAAATACTGTAAAAGCAATCTTAAAATGAGCGTCTTTACATTGAATTTCCTTCACTCTTAGCAAAGAAGCTAAGAACCTATGAAAGAAAACTCTTCATGGTTTTCTGTGTAATAAATCCATCAAATGGAAACTTGTAAAATTCGACAAGGAAATTCTTGGAATTGGGATCAGACAGTATACTCCTACCTTGGTTAATTTTGCATTGTTGATTCCAGAAACACTCCTAATCAGTGTTTACTTATTCTTCTCATAGGGAATCATTAACCCTGCTATCCTGCTTTCTGTTCATGCACATGAAAGTCCCACCAGTACAAGCAGCTTTTCCCCCAATCACAGGAGCATCACATAGAAAACTGCCTTCCTCTGTTTACCCACTCTTATCTCCTATCCACAGTCTGCTCAGCTGCCAAGGCAGGAGACTGTGCAGCAAAGGGCCATGAATGTGACACTTTCCTTGAAAGATATCAGTAAAATTTTACATTATTGCCCTGATTGAGAGAGAAAAAGGAAGATTCTTGAAAAGGTGTCAGATTATCTTCTTTTGTCAGAGGTTAAATGGATAATTAATTTGCATCTCTGCTTTTTTACAGCCATTTTACACCTGTCTGATTGAATAAATTAGAAACCATGAAATGTGATCAGTCGCATTATTTGGATTTTACTGAATAAAGGTCTTTAAAAATGTTTACCTTTTAAAATGATTTCAGAATTATAAACAGCTGGTTCTTGTTTCTATCACAATCAGCCTTAACTTCGGTTTAATCAATGAAGCATTCAGTAGTTCCTCAAGGGGACAGTAACAAAAGACAGAGAAGAAAGTTCTGGAGAAGACAAGCAAAAGTAGCTAGAAGGAAATAAAAGAGGTTACTACTAACAGCGTATGCTGAGAAGGCTTTGTACAAGAAATGTCTATTGAGTCTTAACTAGCCTTCGAATAATGGGTCTGATGTCAACAGATAGAAGTGGCAAGGAGAAGAAACACTGATCATAGGATGAGTAACGGGAAGTTGTAGGAAACAGAAGGAAAAAGGCCAGTTCCAGGGTGTAGAAGACTTTAAATGATACAAAATGTGTTTTGAACTTGACTGTTTAGGCAGAAGAGTACAGAATGCTTTTTTTTTTTTTTTCTGAGACTGAGTCTCACTCTGTCACCAGACTAGAGTACAGTGATGTGATCTCAGCTCACTGCAACCTCCATCTCCTGGGTTCAGGTGATTCTCCTGCCTCAGCCTCCCAAGTAGCTGGGACTATAGGCACATATCACCACGCCCAGCTAATTTTTGTATTTTTAGTAGAGACAAAGTTTCACCATATTGGCCAGGATGGTCTCGATCTGTTGACCTCATGATCCATTCGCCTTGGCCTCCCAAAGTGCTGGGATTACAGGCATGAGCCACCACGCCCGGTTCGAAACATTCTTAAACATGAAGACAAAGCGAGATGATAGCTGAGTCTGAGAGAGAAAATTCCAAGAGCGATGTGGAAGACAGGTTGTAGGGAAAGATGCCCATGGTCAGAAAACCAGTGAGGGAACTCTACGGGCACAGGTAAGATAAGGGGACACCTGGCCTAAGACAGAAGGATGGAAATGGGAAGGCAGTAAGAGAGACTTAGGCTCTTTAGAGCATGGTAATCAATTGCAGGTAGCACAAGAGAAAGGGAGGAAGGGAAGATAACACAGATTTTGATGGTGATTTTGTTACTATGTCATTAACAGAATTAGGAAAGACAAGAGAAGGGGGAGTTGAAGAGGAAATAATGTGCAAAGTTGAAAAACATGAGGTCAGAGCATTAATGGATATACAGGTAGAAGTTATCAATAGAGTTAGGGAAAGGTAATTGGAGCTCTGGAGAACGGATCTGATAGGGATATAGATTCTGGGGTTACTAGCATAGGATATTTATTGAAATATAGAAATAAAATAATTCTCCAAGATTGCCTAATGCTGAATCATATGGAATGCCCACTATCTGTAAGGACTGGGAGAAGGCGGAAGCACATGAGGATCCACCAGAAAAGAAGAAAAACTCAGTTCCCCAAAAGTCAAAGGAATTTTTTCTTCCAGAGTGTAAGGGGATGATAAAGCAGAGGGAATCCATGTAAAAATGTGTTTCAGAAGTTTAACAGTGAAAGAACAGAGACAGTAGCTGGAAAAAAATACCAGGTTTGAGTATTTTGGCAGTAGGTATTGTGGAAAAGGAAAATTCCCTGAAGTAGACAGCACTGACGATGCAGAAAGATAAGGACTATGCACTGCAGTGAGAGGATAGGATAGGCTCTGAAATGTTCTTGCAAGAGGCAGAGTCAAATCCTGCTATGGTGGTCATCAAACCCAGTGGTCCCACTTGATATTAAAGGACTGCCTTGAGCCTGTCTCAGGCTTTTGCAAGAAAGTCTGTGGAGCTCAGAGAAGAGAGAACTTTAGCCAGCCTAAATTCTAGCAACAAAGAAGGAAAGGAGAGCGGGCACTTGCAAAGCTCAAAAGATAAGGCTGGAGGACTGAACGAGAAGATTTGAGGTCCTAAGACAATATAAAAATGCAAATGAATGAAAGCAAAGCCAAACATGAAAGGTGTTGCTTGGAAGAAGAGGAAAATAAAGGGATCCTCTGGGGAAGAAGCCATCAGCTAGAGTGCGTGGGAGTGGAGCCAGTCAGTTACAAAGGTTTATACTGGGAGAGTGTGATAGGAAGTGAGATGAATAACGGGGTTTCTGAGCAGTATTCAGGGCACAGCTGAGATTAAAGAGCATCGATTTGTAGTGCATCCATTTATATATAAAAATTATACCATGGACATGAGTTTTGACTATCTAGCCAAGAGCTAATGCACACATACAATATTTTGTCTCCAGTAATGGTACTTAAATTTTTTTAGTAAACTCCAACAGTCAAACAGAATTTTAACTTGACTTCCTTCCTGACGCTGGTGCATTTAATGAACATTGCTGCCTCATTGCCTTTGACTCACTCAGCATTTCTTGTTCATTTTTAAAAACTGGAAGAAATTGATTTGTTTTCCTTGGCAGTTCTGAAAACATCCTACTTAAAAGTTGTACTCAGAAGAAAAGGAAGGGAAAAATGGGGTTTCATCTTAAACACGTTTATTTTTTTTGAAAGAAACATCATCTTTTAGAGCTATATTCTTGGACACCTTGGGTGGAAGGTGACTAGTGCTATCATTGCAAGTGATCCACATTGAACAAGTGGGACCATGTTGGCTCTAAGCATTGGAGAGCACCTTCATATGTCCTGTTCTGTGACAGCTGTCAAACACCTACCTAGCTCTGAGCCCTCTGCCCTACTGTTGGATTTGAAGAGTAGCAAACACAGAGTGGCAGATAAGCAGATGGTGATTTGAAAAGCATTTTCCCCTGAGGGAGACGGTTTGAACAATTGGATTTTGCACTTACCTAAATTAATTTACTAGAAATCTTGCGATCTACTGTACCCAAGACAAATGAGTTGGGTTGGAAACAATTATTTGAGAGACAGAAGACATTTTCTTGAACATTTTCCATTTCTGTATCTCTCTTTGTAGAATGATTAAGAAGCATTTGCCTGTGAACCTTTGCTGTAGACCCCAAGCAACAAGCACTCCTTTGTATTGATGAGCCATTAGGGAAGGACCATTGGTTCCCAGAACCAAGATATTTGTTCAGTCCACTGATAGTAAACACTGAGGTTCCAGCCGAAAAGGTTGTAGAAGTCAATGGTAAGGCTAGTAATGCCTTTGATTCTAGTTCCCAAAAAGCATCTAATATTTGGTTCTGCATTTTCAGTCTTCATAATACCAGCAACCACAATTTGTATTGCTGATCTCCAGCTCTGACCTCATTGCACTTTTCTCATTCAACAGCTCCTCCTGGCATTTACTAGGAGGAGATATTATTGCGGTTTTCATGTGAGACCGTGAAACCACACAAGCATTAAATCAGAAAGCATAACAGTGGCGTCAAGGAGACAACCCAGATCTCACACCTAATTGGGGCCAGAATTCAAAGCAGACAAAGCAATGCCCCTTCTGCTCCTTTTGTTTAGTCCATTCCAAGGCATTCATTTTCCCACCTCTGCCCTATGGGTCCCAATTTCTGAGTAATGTTTTTATTATTACACTTTTTTTAACATGATTTTGACCAGAAGCAGTTCCCAATGGGATGTTGTATTTAGTGCCTCAAAGGTGATGTCTTAATTCTCACATACCCCATGAACATGCGAACGTACGTAGTAGCCTACTGATGTATTTCAAATGCATTACAAGTGCATACACATCCATCCACATAAATCAAGGACCATATAATCACTGACTTCCTACCCTTCACCCTGGTGGATTGGTGTTTAGAACACAAAAATGCTTTTGGCTTTCAGACAAGAAATATTGAGGAACACCTTAGATAGTGACAAACAAAAAACATGTAACAGGCTTCTAAGCCTAGTCTGTCTTTTTGGACACATCTTAATTTCCCCCTTACCTTATTCATCATGATGCCAACCAATATTAAAAATGGAGCAGCCAATCCCAGACACTTGCTGCCATCCACACAGTAGGAAGAACAAGTGTGCCATCTACTTTCACTGACCAATGTGTAATTCATGTTGAATGCGAGCCTATAAATAGTACATAAACATAACCACCCCCCAAAAAGACTCAAAACATTGAAGTGATAGGAGTCATTAGACGCTATAGAACCGTATTCAACCCAACATAGTCTAGTCCTGATTCCTCTTTCAGCTTCACTCTGAACGTTAGATTCTGAACCAATGCTGAGTAACCACAATAGGCGATGGCTAAAGAGGGTGCAAGCTCTCAAACTGAGACTTTATCATTTCTGGCATCAATGTACCTCAGATGTTTAAAGACATACTTGCTTAATTGGCAAATGGTTGTGACCTCTGCTTTGGCAACTCTGAAAATGAGAAACTGATTTTATTGGAAAGGGAAGGAGTAGATCAATTGCTAGAAGAAGAACTTAATTCCATTACGGTTGGGTAGGAAACAAGAAGAAATGCCTATAGTAGAGAGAGATTCCTTGTAAAGGGGTCCTGAAAGGGTACAAGCGGGACCTTTCAGTATTCTAACATTAGTAGGTAAGCAAGAAGTAGAATTTTGTCTTACTCCAGAACTTGTATTTTTAACTGGTATTTTATATTGCTACCTTTTATGCGCTCACTCTTTCTTCTATCAAAGAGTGATTATTGGTTAATAAAAACATCTGTGATTTCAGAAGACAGCTAAAATGTGTCCACCAATGATGTCTAACACTGCATAGTATGGAATTATGTAAATAGCACTAGGCCTGAAGCCAGGAGAACTGAATCTGTGCCTCACACAGATGGTCTATGGCAAAGCTGCATAGTATTTCATACTGTGTGGTTTCTGACATGTACTGTTTGTCTGAGGCACATATTCTCGGCCTCTTAGAACAGGTTTCCACATCTGCAACCAAACATAATAGAACCTAGCTAGACTTTTGTTGGAAGAGTGCCATGAAATACGAACTAGCAAACCATGAATTTCTACACAAATATTAGGGGCTCCTTATCATTATGGTAATCCCTCCTCTATTAATACTATCCTTTCCCAGTCATTCTTTCTCAAATGAACATTTTTAGTATAAAGATTAGGTATCCACATGCACAGGTATGTTCACTGCAGCAGTGTTTACAATGGCAAA